TTCCTCTTGAAATAATGAGTATATAAATGAAACGTCTAATTAGGATGCCTTAATTTTTAATACAATGTATAGAGGCTATTTTCCCTTAAGATTCTTGGCTAGGGAAAGAATATTTAATCTCTTATCCTGATAAGCAGTGAAAACTGTAACTATTACATTGCTGAGATTTAATGTTTAGTTAAAATTAAATGTTGTCACAGCCTCATCTTGCTATAACAAGAGGGAAAATGTTTCACTTACTTTTATAAAACTCATATAATGTTGTTATCTGTGTTTCTGGAAGGCTAATTTATTCTTCCCCTGCTGTGATAGTTTTATTCTGATAGTCCAAGGAGCACTAGTTTTGTGTGTTAACTATCTGAGAGGTACCAAGAAGCTGTATAAGTCTTAACTCTGTTTAGTCACATTTGAATGCAATTGCTGTTTAGAACCACTTGCAATCTGATAAAATCCATGCAGAAAATTAATTTTAAAAACAGACAGATTGCCTGCCTTGCTGGAGATAGTTGAAGGTTATATCTGAATCCTGTTGCCAGTATCTCTATAGACTGTGGGTTAAGCTTCAAAAGGAACACTAAGAATGTCTACATTTTGCTTTCTAGTTTCCGGATATTTTCACTTTACAATAATAAATTAACGGAAAATAGGTTCCTGTGTTTGGGTAAGTTGGAGCATTCCAAAGATTTATTTATTTTTTTAAAAAGATGACTTCATTGTATGAATTTACAGCAGAGAGGGAGTGTACATATCATATGATATCAAAATGCAAATGCATCATTTTGGCATTTGATGATGACATCATTGGTTGCATGCTGTTATTTTTGTGTCATTGGGATTTATTATGAATGCTGCTACTTATCATCCATACTGTTTTTGGGGCTTTTTTTTGGCTCTGTTGCCCTTCAGATTTCAGATTTAATACAAAAGCAAGAATACAGCTAAGAGAAACTCAGAAAAATGTTGTAATACTGGTAAATGAAGAGGTTTATTGAGCGCTGACGGGGTATGTCAAAGCTTGACATATGAAAAGAGAAACCCAGAAATCCCACTAATCATGTCTGATTAATGTGTGTGAATAAGTCCAGGACAGAAAACTTTGCCAGTGGGAAATATTTGTACAATGCCAGTGAAGTCTAGCCTGTACATCTCCAGTCAGCTCTCTTTCTGTTTATCTCATCAGCACTGTAATCATCCCAACATCATTTGAACTCTCTAATAATAAAATCTATTTTGAATTTATTAAATTGTCTTGGATGTTTTATTTTGCCT